AGGCATTAAGTGGAATCGTTTCAACTATCGTTAATGGTTCACTAGTTAAAGATGTCACTAGATATTGAATTTTTTAAATATCAGATAGATCCCGATTACTATGCACTAAAACTTTAAAAAGGTCTATAAAAGAACTCCATTCTTTGAGATTACCGTTAAAAGTGGGAAGAGATAATTTTGGTAAGCGTATATTCACATATTTTGCACCCTGGAGTCTTGAGGGAAGCTGAGTTTGCAACTTCTTAATCTCCTTTTTAATTTTGTCGGCCATAGCTATGAGATACAACCAAAAATAATATTCGCTTCAACCTATACTGAATCTAACTACCTTGAAATTCAGAAGTATATATCAATTTTAATGGGGATAATAATAGTCAATTTGAGTTAAAACTGTATTTGTCGCTCTGGCACTCTATACTCAATAATATTAAATTATAAAAAAATGCAAAAATGCGACACTACACTTCATTTTTTCCCAAGATAGATTTTGGCATTGTCAACTTTGAAACATAAACAATGCTGCTAATGCCGCTTATTGGTCGCTATTGTAAAACTGATGTCAACCTGCAGAAACACCTCGTTTTGCGACCAATCAGGGTCAAGCGGTATTGTTTATGTTTCAAAGTTTTCAATGTCAAAATCTATCTTGGAAAAAAATAAAGTATAAAATTGTTTATTGCTTTCAATTGACAATGGTCTGATATGGCTATTTTTAACAATGGTAAAAATATGCAGCTTAATTCAAGGTCAATAAACTTCTCCAAAACTGTGGAATGTTAGTGAAAATAATTTTATATTTACCGGCATTCAACCCAATGCTAAATAATAATTTAATAATAAATATTATTTAAACCTCAATAAATTTAATGAATTTCATATTAAAAAATGTTAAAATAAATGTGTAATAATAAGGTAAAGTACCCAGTTGTTGACAGGGTCCCAAAAGTTGACACATTAGCATATTATTCCCGAAAATAAGAATTTATATAGGTTATAAGCTAACTGAAATAGCTTATAGTATTGTTGGAGCCATCTTTCAGGCTATAGCTGATGTATGGATTTGAAATGACAAGTTTTTTCAAAATTGTGGCAAGAAGTAGTGAACAGGTGCAAATGATTGAATTTTTTCCCAGATTTCTAGTGAAAATAGTTAAGAAGATATAAAAACAAAAGTTCTCAAAGCTAAGGTAGGGTTGATAAATTATGAATAATATATATTTACTGTATAATAAGATACATTGTAATACATATTTATTATTGTTTTATCTCTTAAACAACTGGCATAAACTTTTTAAGGGGGGGTGTCAACTATTGAAGCCCAAATCGAGGGGTGATCCAAATGTTGACACTAGTGTCAACTTATGGATTTTTGGCGGTAAAAATATTTTAGCATTGTAGTCTGTCTCTTTTTATTGCTCTGGATTAAAAAGAAACCTAGATATGGGTTTGGGGAATGTAACGGTCGTAGATCCAAAAGATGACACCCCTGTTACCCCTGTCAAGGTTTGGAGCTTTGGAGTGTCAACAATTGGTCCTTTCAAGTTTAAATCAAGAGATGACGCAGAAAAATGAAAATTGCTGAAATATGCACCAGAACTACCAGAAGACGTGATTGCTGCATTGGATGATTGTGATAGGGGGCTCACTGCAGCTACAGCAGCAAAAAAACACATTGTACCAATGCTTTCCAAGCAATTTCTTTTATTAGCAATTTGGAATTGAAATTTGTATTTTTTTCGCAACAAAAAGTTTCCCAATGTTATTTTTTATTATTAAAAAGTTTGATTCTTACATTATTGATGTTTCTACCAGGGTTTCTACTGATACAGGCAACATGTCAACTATTGGTTTCAAGAGTGTCAAGTAATGGAACCACAACATGTACTTAAAAAAAAAAAAATAACTGGTTATTATGTGTATATATTTCATTTAAAAAATTGTACACTTAGAAAAATATACCTCTTAGTTGCACAGACCGTGATAAAATTTCCTAAAAGTAAAAATTTGGTTTTGTAAAAAAATATATGTCAACCTTTGGATCAAAAATGTGTCAACTTTTGGCGCAGTGAACTTTTTTGGGTGTCAACTATTGGGGTTTTATCACCTTTCAGGTATTTTTGGCATAATAACACAAATAATAGGAATATAGAGTAAATAATATATCTACACATTCAATTATGAGTTTGAAATCACGCTAAAAAATATATCATAGCCTTGGGATTGAAAATTTGGAAAATGTGTGGTGATCATAAGCAAGGATACCCTTAACATGTCAACAACAACTTTACCTTAAATAGGTACGGTACAAATAGGTACTCAAAAACTTGTATATGAAAAAAGGTAACCGATAATTCGGCCGAAGGTACCAAATGTACGAGCTGACCACTGATTGACTGTATTTTTAAAAGTTATCAAAAAATCGATAAATGGCAAAACCAATAAAGGACTTACCCCGAAACTGCGTGGGTTTTAGGCACTAAAAATAATTGGTTCTGGTTTGATTGCCGGCAAAAATCGTTCCCCTCTTTCGGACAGCGACAGCACATAATTTCGGCTACTCAATCTCTGTCCTTCTTTAATCAAGAGCGCACTCTTGCTCTCTTTTACGGTACCGCGCGAAAGTCCATGGAAATGCCATTCTCACGCGCATTGAAATTTACACTTCAAATTTAAGACATATATATACAAGTTGCGTTTAAATTACCCAAAATTACAATACAATAAAACGTAAGTCCCAAACAAATGACAATAGGGCATGTCCATGTGACGTCACAAATGAGTTTGACAATCGCCCTGAGGTAAAACAAATCATTTATTTACATTCGTGTAGATTAGGCCGGCTATGTTTTATGCGGTTTTCACAGCTTTTTTACAAGTTTTGGTGTTATTTTGTTTAAAAAAAATTAGAGCGGAGTGTTTGTGTTCCATTCTATGTGGTTTTTTATCTAAAAGTTTGCTAGGTTTTCCTATAATGGATTAAATTCAGGTTTTTTCCAACAAATATCAAAACCAAATATCACAAAAACAAAAATATACACTTTATTTTTTCCAAAGATAGATTTTGACATTGAAAACTTTGAAACATAAACAATAACAGTTGACCCTGATTGCTCGCAAAATGAGGTGTTTCTGCAGGTTGACATCAGTTTTACAATAGCGACCAATAAGCGGCATTATTTATATTTCAAAGTTGACAATGCCAAAATCTATCTTGGGAAAAAATAAAGTATAAGTATAGTTACTCCATATTCAATCTATTTTTCTGTCAGATCTTCTCTTTTAAGAACATTAATCAATTTTTCTCTTCTTTCTTGAGCTAACAAATCAAATATCTCATTGTTATTTAAAATTGATGGAAACCTATGGAAGGATATTGTGTCCCTTGCGCTATACTGCTACAATTAACACTAAACAAACTCTAGGCATGTCCAAGAAACTTCTGGAGCACACAAAAGGTATTTATTTTAAAAAATCTGACTAAAAACTTTAAAAACACTGTAAATTATGTCTTTGTTTTACCCAATGAACTATAACCAAAAACTGGAATGCGAACACATATTGACGAACGTGAAGCCTAGTGCCGCTGCTGCAGAGGGGATACCTGTTTTTGTCGTACTCATTATTTTAAATGGCGGAAATTGCTTCCAACACGTATTCCATTTGATGAAACCTGTGAAAGTAAATATGACAAAACTGTCCAAAACGTCATATGTCAGCGAGCAACAGAAAAAAACAACATTCCCCTTTGTGGCATCTGTCTTTCATGGCTACATTTTTTTGGCAGATATAGCAATGTGTGCGCATTCCAGTTTTTGGCTATAGTTCATTGGTTTTACCTCAAGGCGACTGTCAATAGTGTGAAACTGTCAGATTGTGCACTTGCCCTATAAACAATTTTACCAACTCAACCAGAATTTCAAGGTTATGTTTTTATTCATGGCTCACTCAGAAATATATTTAGAAATGTTTAATAATAAAAGTTGTCATTTCTAGGTTGCAAGCCTGAATTGACACAAATTGATGGGAAAATAGAACATGCGCTAATTGGTAAATAAATTGAGCAAGAACTTGGGCAAGTTAAATTGTCGCCAAGTTGACGTTTTACATTATCAATATTTCTTGACAAGCGACTTGATCAATAAATAGTCAGTGTAAAACCGTCTTAAGAAATAAAAATGGATAAACATATCAATCCCAATATCTTGACCTCTAAACTTTCTATCTGTGGTATATTTGGTTCACTTTACCTCCAGAGTTTCCCAAGAACTTTTACTTGTCATATTGTCAGGAGCAATTTATATCGACAAATCACACTAAAATTCAGAAGAAATCCTCAGAGACCAAGATCAGCAGGTTTCTCTCCCTATTCCAACAAAAACATTGACCCACAAGTTTTTTTTGAAGTACGAGGGAAAGTCTTTAGTTATTGCTGCATGATGTCCCTTAAGTTATTTGGGAGGCGAGTTTTTTTATAGCTTGAAAGAGTTCTATACGGATTTATTATTGTAATGGCACTGAAAAATATTTGCTCTGCTCGGTTTATAACAAGTCTTTTGTATACTTTCTTCTGTATTTTTCACAAAAAAGTTTGTATTTCGTCACCTTGAAATTTCAATTTTCAAATCATAATGCACCTACTTTCAACAAGGGATTATCAATATAAACTGGATTTTGTTTGACAATGCATATTGGATTTTATTCTTGCTCCTAAACTTTATTATCTTTCTATTCATTTTAGTTAAAAATAATGTATTTTCGGATCCTTTCAACATACTGAGTGCCGGTACTTTTGCTCTCATTTGACAGCCGTTAAAAATAATCAGGGGTTAGAATGTGCTCTAACCACATTATACTTATGGACCTTGGACCATGCAAAACTTTGACAACGTATTAAATTCGTTAATCGAGAGCAAAAGTATCGGCCCTTAGTCAATGAAAAAAGTAGCCGAAAAATTGATATAAACTTAATTTTTCAATATATTTCATACAAAGCCACTTACCTATGGAAATTTGTAAACAGCCGCCTCTCGCACTTTTGAATAAAACTTTCTACTCTTGTCTGCAAAAGAAGAATACAAAAATATTAGTTCATAACAAATGTAGAAATTCAGATTATTCTTCAGAAAGTCCCAAAAAAATAAAATTCATAAATTACAATTGGGTGTTTTTTTCTTCAAGCAATTTCATACAGTCACACAAAACGTCTCAGTCTCAGCATTGTCAAAAGAAAAATCTGGAACTTTAAAACTAAAAAAAAAAAACATATTTCAAAGTATTCATCCAGTTTTCTAAAAGATACTTGTTTATTAAATAGTTTTAATAGGCCAATCGATACATTTCATAACTGGAAAGTGTCAGATGAACCATCGTGTTCTGACTAAAGGCACATCAAGTGTGACATTATAAATCCCATCCCCACAGAGATACTGTTTAAAAATCCACGGGACACAAACTGGGAAGGATACCTAGGATCCCTGAAATAAGGTTTCCAAAGAATAGCAGTTAGAGGTAGAGACGTAGGAAACGTTGAGGAATCAACACAAGCGAAGCAATCACCACGGCTTATCATACCAATTGTCCGGAGAAAACCTAAAAACAACTGGGATCTCTATCAGTCAAAACTAACAGATATACGAAAAGTTAAAAGGGACTGCGAAAGGATAAACGAGACCCCTGCATGCTCGGTCTTAGCGAAAAAAACAAAGCAAACCATGTTGAATTTCTCAAAAAGAAAGACAATACATACACAAAGACAGCTGAGGAAAGCCTGCGAGGACCTAGGAGACAGGAATGGGAAACAGTCAAGATGTAGTAGATGGGCTATTAAAAAATTTCAACCATTCAAGTCACCAGATCCACACGAAATATACGCAAAAGGGACAGGACATCCTATTGTTACACCTATGCAGACTGACTTGGGGCCTTGTACAAAATGGGTGGCAGCAGGTAAAGGTCTTATATTTGTCATAAGTAGGCAAAACACTAGACCAGACACCTAAGTCATATAGATCGATAAGCTTATCATCCTGGTTCACGCTCAAAACGTTGGAGAAGCATATCAGGGACAATACATTGCAGGCCTTCCCTCTAAGTGAACGCCAATACGCATACCAACCGAGAAAGTCGACAGGCCTAGCACTGGCTGTTCTCAAAGTCAATAGAGGACGAGGAGATAGCTCTGGTCACTTTCCTGGACATAGAAGGATCATTTAATCACGCCTCAAAAAACTCTATCACAACAGCGCTGGAGAGAAGGTGAGCTCCAACAGCACTGTGCAAATGGATAGAAACTAGTCTGAAAAACAGGACAATGCTATCCACACTAGGAGAAGACAGCGGTCGGAAGAGGATGTCCACAGGGTGAAGTCCTATCCCCACTGCTGTGGGTCATACTGGTGGACAATTTGCTCCGGAAACTGTCTGCGGAGGGTTTTTACTGCCTTTTTTTAGGCTACGTAGACAAACTAACGATTGTGGTACCAGGCAAATTTTCCAACACACTATCGGAAAGAAGCCATGGGACCTTCAAAATAGCGGAAAACTGGTGCGAACAAGAGCAGCTAACAGCTGGGTACATCAAGAAAAACAACAGTTGTCCCGTTCACCAAAAGGCGAGTCCTCAATGGACTGAAACCACTGGTGATAAATAGGCAGGAACTAAAATTTTTCAAAGAAGTAAAATACCTCGGAGTCATTTTTGACCAGAAACTCACTTGGAAATCACATATTCAGAAGGCCACACTTAGGGCAATAATTGCTTTTGGGAAATGCAGAAGAATGTGCGGAAAAAAGTGGGGCCTAAGCCTGAAAATGACTCTGTGGCTAAGTGGCTATGCTCACGAGTAGTGGGGCCAATGATGGCATATGGATGAATAGTATGGTGGACCAGAACTAGATTGATAGACCGCAGCGCTGGAGGTTTTATTGAACCTTCCACCTATCCAAATATACATGCAGGGCGAAGCATGCTCCGTCACGTACAGGCTATTCCTAGGATTGAAACTAAAATTCCGATACCTATGGAAAGCCTAGCAACAGTGTTCCAAGCGGAGATAACAGCAATAGAACACTGCGCCATAGAAATAATGAAGAGGAAGATTCGCGACAAAATGATCGTAGTCTATTCCAATAGCAAAGTGGCAATAAAGGTGATGCAGTCCAACAAAATAACATCAAAGTTAGTTTTGAATTGTCACAACGCATTAACCGAGATAGGAAATCCAAATAGGGTGACGCAATCATGGGTACTTTCTGTGATACCAGGGCATGAAAGCTATTACTTATTTATTTATTTATTCCTGTTGGTTTAAAGTGCACACTACAGAAAAAAAAACAAACTAAATGGTACACTGAAAATGAAACAAATTGAACAATTACAACAGTTACAATCGAGGTGTCAATAGTAATAGAATACAAATTACAAATATAAAATACAAAATATAAACACAAATATAAAAAAGAGAAAAGAAAAAAAAAACATTACGTAACAAGCTCACGAAATAAAGGTAAAAAGTAAGGTATAAAGTAACACTACCTTTTCCATATGTATTTCAGAGATCATCAGTATAATTTCAGAATGCGTCAATTGAAATTCAGATCAGTAAATTGTATTTCGGAAAGCGTCAATTGTATTTCAGATTAGTTAATTTTATCTGGAAAAGAATCAATTGTATTTCATATTGGTTTATTTTATTTCAGAAAGTGTCAATTGTATTTCAGATTAGTTAATTTTATATCGGAAAGCATCAATTGTATTTCAGGTTAGTTGATTGTAATTCAGAAAACATGAATTGTATTTCAGAAATTGTCAGATGTAGTTCAGAAATTAGTGGGTATCTACGCAGATTTTCCCAAATCAACACAAGATAGGTGTATAGGTGACTCATAAATTTTATTTAATACACTACACTGATAATATCTGAAATACATTTGACAAATTCTGAAATACAATTTACAATTTCTGATTTACAAATAAATAATCTGAAGCCCAAATGACGATTTCTAAAATACAATTGACCAAACTGAAATACTAATGACTTTTTCTGAAATACAACCGATCAATCTGAAACACAAATGATATTTTCTGAACTACAACTGACAAAGTTGAAATACAAATAACACTTTCTGAAATTAAACTTACACAATTGGAATACAATTGACGCATTCTGAACTAGAATTGATGAATCTGAAATACAAGTGATACATTCTGAAATACTTATGGAAAAGGTGTAGATTAAATTAGCAAATTTGGCTTTTTAATTTAGATAGAGTAATCTTGAAAATGTCTATATCACTAAAGTGTATGTTGTAATTTGTGACTAGTCTAGTAACAATTATTGCTCTTTGCCCATAATTTGTTCTGTGCCTTGGTTGATAGAATAGTAGCCTCTGTCTAGTTCTTAGAGATGGGACAAGAAATCCTACTTGTTCTAGTAGTGCCTGGCAGTCTATCAAATTGTTGAGGAGTTTATAGAGAAACACTATCAGGGAGTTTCTCCTGCGAGTTTCTAAACTTTTCATTCCACAAAGTGCAAATCTAGTGTAATAATCCACTTGTCTATATAAAAAGTTTAATTTGAAGAGTAAATATTTTGCAAATATACTTTGGACCCTTTCAATGCGGTTGACATGGATATTGTAGCTTGGGCTCCAAACAATGCTGCAATATTCTAGCAAGGATCTGACCAGGCAGTTGTACAGGCATTTTATCGCTTTCACATCATCAATGTCTTTGGTGTTCCGCTTTATGAAGCCTAGTAGTCGGAATGCTTTGGTGGTAACATGATCGATGTGATTATTGAAAGTCAGTGTTTTATCAGAGATGACACCTAGATCCTTTATTGTGTTGATGGTTTCTAGCTCTGTGTTATTTATTCTGTCAACCGTGGTAACAGGATTTTGGATTCGGTGAAATGACATGTTTACACTTCCCAGCATTAGAATGGAAGATTTTTAGGGCAATAAAAACGCTGACCCTTTTGTGGAGTGGCGGGTGGCCAATGGTTGGAAAAAGAATATCAAAAATGGTGGACACACAAACCCGGACAAAGAGAAGCCAAGAAGTTCTTGAAAACCCCATTGGCTAAACTAACAACAGACCTACCAGGCCATGTTTGGAAGGATGTCATAATAATGGTGGGTTTGCTGACAGGCCATTGCCGATTGAATAGACATTTAAGTCTGATGGGAGTGGAAGAAAACAGACTCTAGATTCTATCAAAAGGAGGAGGAAACGGCAACTCACGTCTTGTGCCATTGTGAAGGCCTGTCAAGAGTATGCTTCCAATATCTTGGCTCAACCAAACCAGAAGCAGCTAGCTACACTAGGGAGCCATAGTCGAGGTTGTGGAGTCTCAATAGAGAGATAAAACTGGATGAGGCTCTATGATATGAAATGAGTCACAAGAGACCCGCAGGGACGCAGTGACGAACAGGCGGAAAACTAACTGTCCTCTCCCGACATTTTTTGATCTAATCTAATCTAAATAGCAAGGGAAAAAAGTCAAAGTCTCAAGTGTCCAGAATTAAATTATCACTAGTGGTTACACGTGTTTCGCTCATTCAGGAGCATCATCAGACCTTGAAAAAATAATAAAAAATTAACATCACATTAAATACAGCACACTGATTGAGATAAATATTATAATTTATATTGGTTCTGTTACCAATTGCTCGTCCTTTGGATAAGTTTGGTAATTTTCTGACTGTATTTAATGTGATATTATTTTTCATTGTTTTTTCAAAATATGATGATACTCAGAAATGAGTGAAACACTTGTGAGACTTTGACTTTTCTTCCACTATATTTAAAACAATAATCTTTACCTGTAAGCCAAACCACTTAAACTCCACCGTCACCAACTTGTAACAGGTCATAACGGGATCTACTTTGTCCTTCCAGTCTGGACCTGTTAATGGCCCGCGTCCCGTTTTTTGAGACTTGAACTTCAAAGGATCCTCGTCGGATTTGTAATCTGCCGACGTCACAGGATCGTTGGCGATGTCGATCTGTACCACTTCGCGGATTTTCAATTTGTCAGCTGGAAGCTCATGAACCTAAAATTCGAATTTCTATTTATGAAAAATTTGACACGATATTTTGTTTTCGTTTAATTCTAGCTACAGTTGTTATGATCTATGGACATTGTCATAATACCTTTAACAAGCCTTCTAGAGATTGTGTTAATTCTACGAACTGTGCCTATTATTGATTTTTTTCCAAGGATTGTGTATAACCAAATATGTAGTTACCTTAGTGGAAATCAATATGTAAAATGACTATGAGAGTATAGTTTGTTGTATATAAAATGAAGTAACAATAACAAACAATCATACTATGTTTAAATATTTCAATAGATGATGTAACAGTATTGCCTAATTATTAGGTGTATCTACTGAATAAACGAGTCAATATAAAATATTGTATAGAAAATGTAAATTTTTGATTTGCATTACTTGTTAACTGTTGCAATGCAGCAATATGTGCTTTTGGGCAACAAAAAATGTAGCTGGTCATTAGTGTAGATTAAAGTGTTAGTGACTAATTCTACTCTAGATTGTTCGAATTGAAAGCTAAAAACAAAGAAGAAAGGAAAGTGGAGAAATAGGTGCAGAAGACAAAAGACTATAGTATAGACTTATAGAGACAATAAAATAGGCTAATTGAGGACTAGGGTTAGTTGCAGCAGGCAAGAAGGAGGGTGAGTACCTAACAGAGACCTCTCCAACTTACATTGTCCTTCTTTCCGGTATCCGGCACGTGTAGACTCTCGATACAAATAACAAAGTTTTCCTTCATGTAACCTGGATTCTGTTAATTCGAGGATGATTCATAATGACACCAGTACCGTATTAAAGGTTATTTACACACCGTAACCGACATAGAGGTACCGCACATAGAAAAAGAAAAGAAAAACCACAATGAGTAAGGCGGGAATGAGATACTTACATTTTCTTGTGTTCCTTTGTCCGGCGCATGCAACGTCTCTATCACTAACCTAAATTTCTCTTTCATATAACCTGGATTCTGAAAATCAAATTTTTGTCAGTCCATGTGAGCAATAAAGCTTTTATATCTTTAAATTTACACATTGGGATTAGTTAGTGTTTTGTTGATATTCAAAGGCATTAAATGTTGAAGTATGACATCATCAGGAATAGACCCGTGAGACATCCACAAATTTATTGCATGTGTTTCAATTTAAATGTCTGTAACAAAATAGAGCCTAATAGCATGAAATGGATCAATTTCTCAATTGATTATCCATTGAAATAAAATCCAAAAGCCTCTTGAATACTTTTGAAGTGCTTATCAATTTGATCGCTATCTGGAATATTTCTAATTCTAATATATGCGATAAGTCTTGCGATAAGTGAAATGAAACTTATTTCAGATTACAGATTGAAATGGTAAAAATAAACATAGCATAAGTAGCTAAATTTATATGTGAACAATGAATGTAATAATAAATTCAAAATAAGAATTGACAATATAATACACCAATGTTTATTGTTTACTACGAGTTTCTGTCATTTTAGATAGATATCTTGAATATCAGGTATTAAATAACCTTCTGCTCTACCCATGAACACAAAGCTCTAGAACATTTGTAGATATGTTATAACTAATCTGCCACGTGCCACATTGTTTCCAATTTGTTGAGATTGATTCATTTTCGGTAGTTTAAACGGACTGTGAAAAAAAAACCTTGAAGATAACAACTATATGAGCCAACTTTTGTCTATAGTAATTTTTTTTTAGGCACTATTTTGTTACTAAGTCACATACAAGCATAATATACATACATGGAACAAAATAATCTTAATTGCTAATGCTCACCGTAATAACAGTTCTACAATAAGGATACGCGTTCCAGGCTTCCTCGTGAATCTCTAAGCTGCCTTTGGGTGCCAGTAGTCGGATAAAGGCCGGCACTTTGCTGGCCAAATGGTAAATCTTGTAAGTGTACTGGCCAGAATTGTACTTACCCCCTAACAGAGGGTAGTTGGTGAACGGTTCGTTTTTCAGCACTTCTATGCCTTCGCCTCCTCCTGTGTTGTCTTTTGAGGCTTCGGCCACGCTGAAGAGTTGTGCGACTTGATACTGGAAACAACAAAAAAAATGATATACATACTAATCAAAAGTTAAATAGCTAGTTAACAATAAATATAGAAAAGTAGTGATACTTTTCTGTAGTGTATTGCAGTATTATGTCCAAGATGCAAGGAATTTGGCAATAGGTATGCTCAGATCAATCCCAGGCAATCGAAAGTAATAGCTCTGTTTGATATTTGTGCAAATGCAAGACAATTTGCATGAATTCTTTAATAAAAATTACCAGAACTAGATTAAATTTTTTGTTTGTTTTTGTCCAAAAAATCCTATTGAGTAATTTAGGATTCAACTTACTTCCAAGCAAAATTCATTCTCAAACCTTTAATCATTAAGAAGCTTCTCATTTTCCATGTTTCTACTACTTTAGTCATATGCACTTTTTTAACTACACTTAATGGGGAAACTTTTAGTTCTAATCCCACCAGGCTTCGTTCCTTATAGCTATTTATGTACCAAGGGGATTATGTAGATTATAATGCCCGAAGGCGAAACTAGCCCGAGGGCCTATGGCCCGAGGGATATATTTCGCCTGAAGGGCATTATAATCTTGAAATCCCCGTGGTGCATACAATGCTTTATTTTCTACTCAGCCCAATATTTTTTCATCAATTTATTATTAACAAAATCAGTTAAACTTGTGCGACAGAATATTGATTTGTATTTTGACATGTACCTGTACCTGTGACCTGTACCTGTACCTGCGACCTGTACATAGAAACGAAATAAATTGATATATCTATAAACATCTCATAAGGCAAGGCAACGGTGGTGGTCCTGTGGGTTAACGCGCTGGACTACATGGGAAACGTTGATGGTAGACCGGGTTCGAATCCTGGCTAGACCAAAAATTATTTTCGGTCAGACATTTAGTGGCTGCCTAGGGTAAAGTGCAAATTAATAGAACAACAAAAACAAAAACACCTTAAGGTATTATAAGCGGGCGTTATAGATCATAACGCCCGCAAAAGCGGGCGTTATGGATCAGGTTGTTATAGGTGTGTTAACGTATTTCGTTTCCTAGGTATTATGGATCTATAATAGTAAAGACGAACCATATTTAGGTTAAATGGACCACCCTGTATAGGCATGCTGACTCTAGTTGTCCTAACATAATGCTATCTGACCATGTCCGTCATGTTTTTTATCAAATAAACAATGGATTGAGAGATTTTCAGCTGTCATGAAACTCTTTCATCGCGATTATTTTTTTACAAATTCAAAGGTGCGTGGGCGTAGCTTGCTCCGCTACCTCACTTGCTGACTCGAGTATTTATAGTTATATACATCACAAATACAAGCTTATATTAAATTTTCAGCTTTCATGAAACTCTTGCACTTTTTCGGCGCTGGCTCTCCGACTATTACTTTCGAGCAAGAAAATTTGTTCTACATTATACAGGGTTGGTCAAAATTAGTAATTGTGCTGCCAGGTACAAAAAAGATGAAAAGTGCACTTTTTCAAATAGAACACCCTGTATATTATGGAATATTATGAACGGCATTTAAAATCCCTTACAAATGATGTATCATGTTCCTATACCTAAATAGTAAGGTTTCGGAAATACAAGTGTGTTAAGTGAACTTTTTTCCACGAATCTGACGTGCGACAATCACATGAGTAAAAAAAGGTACTGTACACACTTATTGCATACAACATTTTTTCTACTATCAATAAAATATGTCAGAAAAATAAATTTAGGCAAATACTTCAAGCACTAGTGCGTAAAGTAATTCACCAGAAAAAGAAAAATACTAAATTGACAGTGTCAACATCTGTCATTGACATTACTTTACGCACTAGTGTGTGAAGTGAAATTTAACGTCTTCGCAATAGTGCATAAAGTGAGTATTTATGCGTTGCAACTGGGGGTTTGGGATCTTTTTTTCCTTGACCGCATGTGGATTTTGATTAGCCCAAAAGTGTTGTTTTCTCCTATCAAAAATACCTTGTGTGTGTGTCAGAAGTGTCTCTTAATATCGAATTTGACGTTGGTAATCATCCGGTTTCAGCTGTTGAACTTTTGTGAATTTAAAGGGATGCATATGATGATCGTTAGAAATTTTCTGCACATAATAATAGCTCAGACCTAAATCACCTACTGCACTTCGGATGGAAGCTTGGGGATATGCGTGAAAGTAGGCTGAAACATTCGCGATGTTTCTTCATCAGACGTTACAGGCTTGGGTAAGCTTGGTTCATTTTTAAGTTTTGAACCAAATTAGGTATATAAAGTTATTTTTTGTGCAACCGTCCTCCAAATTCAATTTCGCGGCCGCCACACCTGACGTGCAAAATGGGTCAAATCCTTGTCAAATTCATACAGTTTTTCTGTAACTTTACATAATTTTTATAGTTGCACAAAAAATAGTGTGTATACCATGAACGCGAAACTTTTTAACGTACTTGAGAGTATCTTGCCTCGGCCGCTTGCCTCGGCGATAACTTTTCTCTACGTACGCTAAAAAGGCATTTCGCAGCCTCGGTATACAAATAACTATTGTGTCCGAACAAATTTTCTTTCATTCATTGGTTGTAAATCAGAGTACATTTCGTTGAACTATTTGCATATTTTTGCTACAATTTTTTTGCAGATTTCTTTTTTTTGACGTTTTGTAAAGTTTTGCTGTGGGAAAAACCAAATAAACTTGCTGACAGCTGATGGCAGGCAATTTTTTTAATTAAAAATTATTTTTGACACCAAAATTATCACTTCTAATTGGTCAAAATTAACAGGAGGGAAATAGTCATGATAAAATGTATGGCCCACTTCCATAGATGCCTATAGTACCTAAGACTTTTATGACGTCATTGGATCGAACTGTCAAAAACACCATGAGTAGGAAAGAGACAAAGACAAAACAATGACAATATTTTTGCATATTACACATTGTAAAAAGTGGACCATCTTATGCATTTGTTTTTAATCCTAGATAATAACCATGGTTCCAATCACCTGCCAATCATGTGGTTTGTATAGTTTGAATTACCTTATATGTTTCATCGTGACATAGCTATTTAATGACGATTCGCGTTGGTAGAATGAGTGTAAAGAAAAAGTATTTCTATCTGTTTCTATAACAGGCTGAGAGAAAGAGATGAAAATATACTCAGTGTGAATTGAATCTACCAATTGGAAACGCCATTAGACAAATATCCCAAAATAATCCAATTCTAACAGAAGCCTGTATTTCCGAAACCTTACTATTTAGGTATAGGAACATAATACATCATTTGTATGGGATTCTAATTGCCTTTCATGATATTTCATAATATACAGAGTGTTCTATTTAAAAAAGTGCACTTTTCATCTTTTTTTTACCTGGCAGCACAATTACTAATTTTGACTAACCCTGTATAATATAGAATAAATTTTCTTGCTCAAAAGTAATATGCAGGACCTCCCTAAGTTATCTCCAAAATTTAAACTTTCTACGAATCTCAGGTACATATTGTCTGGCTAGCGAAACGGCGAACTGCAAAAGAATTTGCTGCTTTGCCAAACTTGACGGAAATTAGAAACAAAATAATAAACAAGTTGGTGACATTTTTTTTTTGCTATATGGGCATGTGTCATATTTTGAAATAGGAAAAAATCAGGCAACATTGCGAAATGATGGAAGTGGAGAGGCGTGATTATTCAGAAACAAGATTCTATTGGTTAGAGCCTGAATGACAGCACGCAGTGGCGTGGTTATTGGCGAAACTAGAGAATCTTTTTTCTAATAATTTTATTGGTCTATTTCCTTGGTGTTTTCGGTGCCACTGAACTCAAAGACATGGCTGTCATCAGACGGTGTCAGTTGAGGTGTCAGCGAATATTTTTAGTTAACGCCCCAGTTTTCTTCCCCCTTTCGTCTCTACCAAGTTACCACTTGCCAGACTATAGTAATACAAATTTAACTAGAGCTATGTTTTGAAGAAAAAATAAAGAAATTAATTAATAAGTCGAAAATCACTAGAGATAGGTATAGGACAGTATTATACAAAAATGATCAGAAAGTAATAGCGGAGTGAAAAATGCAATAATATACAGGGTGTCTCATTTGAAATTTCAAAGTTCATATTACTTTTTCGTATAAGCGGCAACGTCGCATCGTTGAAATTATTTTAGAATGATAGATCAGGAGCAATTACTTGGGCATGCAAATTTTCAAAAATATCCAACATTCCGTTTTCCCGAGCGTTTTCCATAAACGTCTAACCTACCATCGACCATCAATCACCCAGTATAGTGGTGAGTCTTGACATTTTTTTGTCGCACCATATTTATTTCTAAAATATTCCTCCTTCCAGTTCTATTTCCGTTTTCATGCGATTGTTATGCAATAAATTAATTTAGACTGTTCATTTGTCCAACCTTTAAGAATGGATAATTTTTATATATTGTCTCTATGTAGGTGTGGAATAGTCTATTGAAAATAGTGTCTTAATGGCTTTGTTTTGTGCCCTTTGCAGTTTTTTCATGAGATATTCGCTCGTATTTCCCCAGCAAGGTATTAGGTATCTGATATGAGACTCAATCATACTATTTTGTAGAGGAAGTACTTGGCTTTATTATTCAACTGGTGAGCACACCTTCTTGTTTTTTTCCCTTTATTTCAACATGATAGTTAAACAATAGATGTAAGTACCTCAACTAGAGTCCCTGAGCTGGAAAGCTATGCGGGTCATTCAGTATCATATATAACATAATTATTACAATATACCAAATCAAATCAAATCAAAATAAGCTTTATTGTTGTAAAGACATAATCTTATTAACAAAGCTGTACTTAAAGATAAATAGAAACATAATATAACACCTAAACAATCAAGCAAGCTAAAACTAAATATAAAAATCGTAACATGTATACAGAAAAAAGGAAACACAATATATATAGATTCCAAAATGGCTACTTATATAGACAATATTGCCAAGAACATTGAATTAAGATTTGATTTTCAAGTATCACAGAACAAGCAATAAAGCTACCTAAAAGGTGTCGGC